TTGATCTTAAAATTCGAGTATTTAGTTGTCTACTGCTAAGCTAAAACATAGAAAAATCATAACTTCCTTATACGAAATCAGATTTGGGCATTTTTTTATCGAACTTCTCGATTTAATGAATACTACAACTTTAGTTTAGATTGTTAAGGCTAAAAAGAACTTTATCATAATATTTACTTTTTACGCTTCCCGGTGCCGTGCCGGTTTTGTCACGAAACTTCGACAGGTCATAACTTCTTCGTTATAACTCGGATTTCGACGTTCTTTATATCTTCAGAATTCTTTTTCCGGCCACTACAACATTCTTAAAAGATATAGGCTATTTGTAATATTTATTTTAAATGCTTATTTTTATTATTAATTAATTAAATCACAATAATTAAGCAAATAAGCATATAATTCACATAATATTCACATAATTCCTCTTTATTAATTCAAAATGAGTTACAAAGGTTGCCCTAGACTATTAAAACTTTATTAATGCTTTTAGCCCAGAAACACGGGCGTTACATTTAAAAAAAAAACAGTTTATGTAATTTAATTCGTTCCACGTTAAGACCAAATGACCTTTTTTTCCCAGCTTGTCCAGGGTATTTGAGTTTTCAGGACCGACCCCTATATATATATATATATATATATATATATATATATATATATATTATATATAATATATATATAGGGTTAGGTTCATTTGAGACCATCTATATTTTGTAAGACCGTGAGACGCATTTTTTTATTTTTTTATTTATTTATTTTTCATTTTTTTTAGTTAATTCATGTTCCGAAAATAATATTTAAAAAAATAATTTTTTCATTTTTCCATTTATTTTGCATTTTAAAATTATTTTTAGAATATGTACAGTGTAATATTCTATTTAGAATATTTCACGGATTTTTCAAAAAAAAATAGAATTTTTTTAAATTTTTTAATTTTTTATTTTTTTTAGTTAATTCAAGTTCCGAAAATAATATTTAAAAAAAGAATTTTTAGATTTTTCCATTTATTTTATATTTTAAAATTATTTTTTATAATATGTAAGTGTAATATTCTATTTAGAATATTTCACGTATTTTAAAAAAAAAAACGGAATTCTTTTTTTTTTTTTTTAGTTAATTTATGTTCCGAATATAATATTTAAAAAAAGAATTTTTTGATTTTTCCATTTATTTTGCATTTTAAAATTATTTTTAGATTTGATCTCACGGTCTCACAAAATTAGAATGGTGTCAAATGAACCTGAACATATATATATATATATATATATATATATATATATATATATATATATATATATATATATATATATATATATATATATATATATATATATATATAAATTTTAGAAGACGCGCCTTAAAAAAGTAGAATGGTCTTTACTTAATTTTATAAAACTTATCTACTAGAAAAGAAAATTATTTATATATACACCATTTACTAATCATATTAGTTAATTTTTATATATAAAAAGTAAGAGAGAATATTGTAAATTGAATCTCAAATCGCAAATGTGATTATTATATTTTTAAAACCGAATGGTATAGTTATTTTTGTGGTGTCTTATGTGATTTTTTATGTGGTGTGTATTTTAATGAAATAGATTTGATTTTATACATATTAGACAAAAAAAATATAAAATTTTAGCGATGGCTCCTTCTACTCACCGATTTTTATACATATTATATTTTTGATCCCCAAATTATATGTTGAAGCTCTGTCCGTGTGTATATATATATATATATATATATATATATATATATATATATATATATATATATATATATATATATATATATTACACTGCACTTATATAAGACACATATAATACTAATACACAATATATACACACACTACATTTTTTTATTTGAACAAAACCCACATATTGTAATACACACGTTACACAAAGTATTAAAATACATAAAATACACGATATAAGACGAGAATAAATAATGAGGAAAAATTAGAAATTTTGATTATGCTGCTCAAACATACTGCTTCATCCCTCTTTTTTTAAGTAACTATTATATTAAAAATGGAAATAATACAATATTATGTAACTATTTAAAGTATTCGGTATGGTTTAGTTATTTTCGGTTTTTATACAAATAAAATTGTATTGCACAAAAAATATTCCGTTTTTATAAAATTAAAATCGCACTGTCGGTTTTAGTTTCAGTTTCGGTATGTGCCGATTTTTAATTCCAATGTGGCGAGGCATAAAAAAAAAAAAAAAAAAAAAAAAAAAACCCTTAACTAAAACAAACATTATGGATTGTTGATGCTTCGGTATAGTCTCAAATACTCAAGGGACTGTTTCTGTAATTAGCTCGAAGACAACATTTTGACCTTTTCTTATTGGAAAATATCACCCAAATATTCAATCAAGGTTTTGTTAAGGTCCTGTTCCAAAATCGCAACTGAAGAGATCTCAAAACTCTCCCCTTCACATGATTTGACTCTAATTTGATATTCTCTCCTGAGATCGACGAGTATTTGTTTTCTGGTGAGTATTCTTTCATTTAAATTTGCCATAGCCTTCTTCTTGCTGCAGTATTCGCACATCTCTTTCTAGTTTCCAACTTAATACTGGACGAAAACCTCGGAACTTTTCAATTTCATTTGATTCTGTGATTTTTTGGCATGATTGAAGTAATTGAGTTGGCAGTTTAGCATTAGGGTTTCATGAGCTAGTGATCGGGTGCGGATTTTCAAAACCTCAATATCGAACTGAAATTAACAAGTTCTTCGATTAGAGCTCAGCCCTAATGCAGTGTCAGCTATGAAGCCCGAAAATTCGGGCGCTTGTTTTCCCGTATATGAAAGAACTGATGATTTCTTCCTATCTAGGAGAGATGCAAAGTTCTATGAAGAATTAAAATTGTAATTTAGGGTTTCTGATTGCAATCCTACAGCTAAACTACCCTTACACCCACAGCTACATTTTCCCCCAAATTTGGGCATGAACAATCTATATGCCATTTATGAGCATCAGATTGAAAACACAACATTCACTTATTACCATTCTAACATCACATTTCTTGAAAATTTCTGTCTTACTACAATAGCATTGCATATTCTAACTCATTGTTGCATATTCAGAATCAATCCACACACTACATTTCATGGGCACTTCTTCAGGATCTCATTTCAACAATCAACCTTCACCAACAATGCTACCTCCACGTCAGCAAGTAAGATCCACACCTCTTCACACCTCCTTATCACTCATTCCACTTCCAACAGATGCTTCCGGATCACCAAATCTTCAAGAACGCGGCTCAAATTCCGATCAAATCCGCGAATCACCAACCGAAAGTGCAAGCTCCCGTGACACCTGGCCCGACCCTTTAATCCCATCCAAAAAAGAAAATGACAATACCACCCCTGAGCCCTCTGTCATCCGCCGTATCTCAGGATCAGATAAAATGTCCATCAGAGATGTATGTAGGGAAAGAGTGGATCTAATTTCAGAAAGAATGCAGAATCTACCTTACGAGTTCTTAGAGAAGCTAAAGAACGATCTTCGAGTTCTTATTGAAGGATCCGGTGGTCTTCAACACCGAGAAGAATACATTTCTCTTCAGAAAACGGTTCTGGGTCGAGGTGATTTGACCGAAAAGACCCTCACAATAGCTCACAGAGGCCAACTAGAGATTCTAGTTGCTGTCAAGACTGGAATACAAGCATTTTTACACCCAACTGTAAGTCTCTCACAAGCTTCCCTCATAGAAATCTTTTTATACAAAAGGTGTAGGAACATCGCGTGTGGGACCCAAATTCCAGCTGACGATTGTTCTTGTGAGATTTGTACTAAAAGAAACGGGTTTTGTAACCTTTGTATGTGTGTGATTTGTACAAAGTTTGATTTTGAGGTGAATACATGTCGATGGATTGGGTGTGATGTGTGTTCTCATTGGACACACACAGATTGTGCTATAAGAAACGGGCAGATTGGTGTGGGCCCGGGTAGAAACGGGGCAGGATCCGGATCCGGGTCCGGGTCCGAGGAGATGCTCTTTAGGTGTCGGGCATGTATGAGGACTTCTGAGTTATTCGGGTGGGTGAAAGATGTGTTTTATCAGTGTGTTCCTTTGTGGGATCGTGATGCTTTGATTAGAGAACTTGAATATGTTAGAAGAATATTTCATAGAAGTGAAGAAGTTAAAGGGAGGAAACTTTATTTCAAATGTGAAGAACTTTTGGAAAAATTGAAAACCGGGTTAGGTGAAGGTGTAGCTTGTAAATCCATATTGTCATTTTTTCAAGGTAATTAAATCAATAATCAATAATAGTTAATAAAACAAATAAACAAAAGTACATTGCTATTTCATACATTTAACCGTTTCATAAATTATCTATAGAAATGGACACGGGGTCCCCACAAGAAACCGAAGAAGGGCGATTAATCCCACCACAAGAAGCTTTCAATCGAATAGCCGATGTAGTCCATGAAGCAATTAAAAAAATGGAAATGGTAGAAGAAGAAAAAATACGATTAGTTAAAAAAGCGCGATTAGCCCTAGAAGCATGTGATCAAGAACTCAAAGACAAATCCCGTGAAATGACATCACTTAACATGGAAAGACAAAAAAAGAAGCATCAAGTGGATGAGCTTGAAAGCATTGTGAGACTTAAACAAGCGGAAGCGGACATGTTTGACTTAAAAGCTAGTGAAGCTAGAAGAGAAGCCGAGAGACTTCAAAGGATTGCTCTTGCCAAAACGGAAAAGTCGGAGGATGATTATGCAAATAGGTATTTGAAACAACGGTTGCATGAGGCGGAAGCTGAGAAACAATATTTATTTGAGAAAATAAGGTTGCAAGAGAGTTCATCGAGGGTGTCACAAGGTGGTGATCCGATGTATAATAAGATCCAAGATTTGCTTAAGAACATGTATACCGCACCTTCCAAAGGAGACTGACTGTTTGTTTCTTTTTGACTTAATGGACTTAATACAGACAGATGTAATCGGGTTTTTTTTTTTTTTTTTTTTTTGTGTGTGTGTGTGTGTAAGAGTATGGATGGATGATGTTGTTGAGATGTAATGTTTATGTTTGAGTTATCTTAGCATATTGTTGTGTTGGGTTTTGGTTATTTAGTTTTATCTTTGTGTGCATGTTAGTCATTATCTACTTATTTTTGTCGATGATTTCTTTTAGAACTATTTCTTAAAATGAATAATTTTCAAATCATTTTCTTTTATTCTCATGCGTATGATGCATAAATTTTGTTGTCTTCTATGTAACCAGTCATCCTATCTTTGGGCGAATGTATGACTTTATAGTTTTTGATGTAGTTTGTATAAATATTACTTTTGTAATTTTGACTTAATTGATTTAACAAAGACATGATTTAATATATATAGGTGGTTTCAAATGAACCTTACCCTATATATATATATATATATATATATATATATATATATATATATATATATATATATATATATATATATATATATATATATAGGGTCGGTCCTGAAAACTCAAATAACCTGGACAAGCCGGGAAAAAAAGGTCATTTGGTCTTAACGTGGAACGAATTAAATTACATAAACTGTTTTTTTTAAATGTAACGCCGGTGTTTCTAGGCTAAAAGCATTAATAAAGTTTTAATAGTCTAGGACAACCTTTGTAACTAATTTTGAAGTAATAAAGAGGAATTATGTGAATATTATGTGAATTATATGCTTATTTGCTTAATTATTGTGATTTAATTAATTAATAATAAAAATAAGCATTTAAAAAAAATAGCGAAAAAATCAGTCCTATACAATCATATTCGCCAAAAAAATAGCGAAAAAATGTACATATACGACTGGTCCATAAGTGCATTTTTTACGAACTTTGTTAAATTTCGATATTTGTGCACATATACACCTGTAGTACATGGGATTTTTTTTTAGGATTTTTTTTTTTGAAAATATACTTCTAAAAACCCGATTCGATGCATTATGACACTTTTTTTTGAAAAAAAAAACGCATTTTAAGAGTGGTTTCCGGAAAATATAGATTCACAAAAGATCTTGACTATATATATATATATATATATATATATATATATATATATATATATATATATATATATATATATATATATATATATATATAATGTGCATATTATATGCCCGACGTTCACATCTGATGCCTTGTCTACGAAGAGCCTACACTGCACGTTCTAGCTTCCTTGTATGGTCTGAAGGCGTCCATGTTGCTCCATCCGAGGGTCGGCATCTGTCCACTACGCCCAGCGTACTCCGAGGAGTACACCCATCATTCTGAGGAGAGGGCGCCTATAAAAGGGCTGCGAGGGCAGCCGGCCAATTCACACCAAATCCATTCTCTCTCTCTCTCTCTCACTACTTTCTCTCTCTAACCAACTCCAACCCCCTATACCTTAGGGAACCCCATAGCACCCGAAGGAAGCCCCAAGGCTCTCGGAGTATCGAGAAAAAGGGTCTTTCGGTTCGGAAACGCTGCTCCGAGCTGTAAGTGAGCTACGCTTACGCTATTTTTAATATAGCTTCTATTTAGTTATAGTAACGTTATTAGGAACTTATAATAAGTACTTGGGCTATTATTATGGGTTATATAAGTATTGTTTAATGCTTATATAATAGTAATAATAGCTAGACTATTAATTAGTCTCGGTGAATGATGGACTAAACCATAGTGGTAATGATACTAGGTTTTGATGAAGGAAATTGTTTCAAGAGTAATGAAGCACTATCTAAGTTCGAAATCACCACCTTGACAGGTGAGTGCATGGTCCCTTTCATCTTACACATAGATATGAAGTATTTTATCTAAACTACATGCTATGTGTGCATATTATCTGTATACTTGTTATCTATACTGGATGAACAAGATCCAATCCATGTATGATAATTAAGTATGGACCTTGTTTAATCATACTCCTGGTCCAAAGACAGTAGGTTGTAAATGAATCTTCAAGAAAAATACCGACATGGATGGTAATGTATAGACCTTTAAGGCAAGGTTGGTTGCAAAGGTATTTACTCAAACCCAAGGGGTTCACTATGATGAGACCTTTTGTCGGTTGCCAAAATCAATTCAATTAGGGTAATGCTTTCCATAACATCTTTTCATGATTATGAAGTATGTTAAATGGATATTAAAACTTATTTCTTTAATGAGAAACCAAGTGAGGATGTTTACATGTCTCAACCAAAAGTTTTGAACATGCCAAATTCCCTAATAAGGTGTGAAAGCTTGAGAAGTCTATCTAAGGACTTAAACAAGCATCTCATAGTTATAATCTTTGCTTCCATGAAAAGGTCAAAGAGTTTGGATTTTATACAAGTGAGGATGAGTCTTGCATATATGTCGAAGCTGGTGGGAGTGTAGTGACCTTTGTAGTTTTGTATGTTTATGGAATACTCTTTATAGGAAACAATCTTCCAACTTTGCAAGAGGTGAAGTCTTGGCTTGGAAAATATTTTTCTATGAAGGATCTAGGTGAGGAAACTTACATTATTGGAATAAGTATTTATAAAGATAGGCAGAGGTGTTTGGTTGGTCTTAGCCAGAGTATTTACCTAGACAAAATATTGAAACAATTTAATATAGAGTATTTCAAGAAAAGGGATATACCTATCCATCATATTGTTAAATTGAGCAAGGCTCGATGTCCCGGTAGTGATAAGGAAGTAGATGCGATGAGTAGATTACCATAAGATTAGACTATAGGCTCGATTATATATGTTATGACATGTACTCAACTTGATGTGCCTTATGCTTTAAGCATGGTTAGCGGATATCAGGGAAATCCCGGCACAACCAATTGGACAGCAGTGAAAAACATACTTAAGTATTTGCAAAAGACAAAAGATATGATCTTAGTTTTTTACACGAATATGAACTTAAAGTGGGTGGTTATAGTGACACCAGTTTTCAAATAAATCGGGATAATAGTTATTCATAATTTGGATGAGTTTTTCTATTGAATGGTGGAGCAGTAACTTGGAAGAATTCCAAGCAGCAAATGGTGGTTGATTATACTTGTGAATCAAACAACAAGCGATGTGGAAAAGGAAGCGACATAGTTAAAGAGTTTTATTAGAGATCTTGGAGTTGTTTCATCAATCCAAGAGCCCATAGATATTTTATGCAACAACAAGGTGTGGTTACTTTGATCAAAGAACCAAAGAATCATAGAAGATCAAGGCACATTGAAAGAAAATACCATTATATCCTACATCAAGTTGAAAAAGTAAAGCTTGTGGTGAATCGTGTATCATCAGAGGAGAATCCTATTGATCCTCTCAAAAAGGGCGTAAGGAAGATCAAGCACATCGAGCATTCTAAGAGCATTAGGCTAAGAGATGATATTAGATTTAGATTTTAGTTGTTAGTTGATAGTTTTGAAATAATGTAAAAACAATAAATTATCAATGAATAGTGATTAAGTAATAGAGATTTATTCATGTTCAAGGTTTGTGATTCCATAGTCAATTCATTTAAAATTATGTTTCATTTTGCATGTTTCGCTTCGTGAATATTAATTTATTCAAAATGCCACAGTGGGTTATACTTTAAGGAGTAGGTATTAATTTAAGACTGACATGGAATATGTGTAGATTGTCTATGATGATTGGACATTGCGTAGGGGTTGTTGTAACATTTATGAGTATTTAGAAAATGGGTATTTGAAGTATTGGTTAAACCTGCACTTAGAGATTACTTCATGGATTCAATCATAAGTAATTCTAAGACGATAATATCTTATATTCTTAAAATAGAGATATATAATTCATAGTTTGCAAATTTGTTGTCAACTGTTTTGCATCATCAGATCCGTAACTAGATGTCATAATCTATAATTCCATGTATGACATGATGAGTAAAAGGTATGATTATATAGTAAAAATTTATTCGTTCCTTTTGCATATTAAGGAAAAGTGATATCTTTGGGCCCCTCAGTGATTTGATGTTGACATTATAGTGTTGGGGCCAGTCAGGACTAAATTAATGTGTTTAGTTTGCAGTCTAATGACGTCATCACAAATTGGGAAATAGAGAAATAGAATCTTGGACCATGAGATTGATTTGTATCCATGTCTCATGTCCATATGATATCTTGAATAACAAATGAATAGGTGATCACTTATCTTAGAGCTAACATTTGATTTAATTAGAGTTTCACATTTTCTTTGGAAATCACTCTTTACTGGTTATTCAAAGACTTATACTTGCAATTGTAGTTGATGACTTATCCAAGTGAGAGACTATTGGATTAAGTGTCTAAGGTCTTAACTAAATTATTATAATCTTAGTGAATAAAAGTAAAGTTATTTTTGGGTTGCCCTCATAATCAGGAAATGGCTTGGATTGATATTGAGAGAGAGAGAGAGAGAGAAATAATTTAAAATACTATATGATTATTATATTAATTAGAAATAGTTAATAGTTAATTAAGAGTTAATCATAATTAGTTGGAATTATTTTTGGGTTACTTAGAGTTAAATAAAAGGTGTAAGGGTTAAATTAAAATTGTTTAATAGTTGTGCAAGAAAGATAAATTCTAGTTCTATCCTACGGGTGGACTGTTTCAAGGAGCTTAGGAAGGGTTCTTGAAGCCTCGTAAATCAGATAAGGAAATGTATTTGAATCAGATTAAAATACTATTATTTTAATATTCAAATCCAGGATTTTAGGGTTATCTAGCAGCTATATAAAGGGTTATACCCCTTGTGAAAATCGATCCCTTACCCTCTCATAAGCAAAAATCAGATTCAATTATCCCCTCTATCCTAAATATTGATCCTAGGGTTTCATATAGTTTTGGGTGTGACACATTAGAGGCTACCACACTATTGGAGCTACGCTTTCTAAAGAGATCCACAAAAAGATTTCTAGCATCAATTGTTTGTTACTAATGGTATCCTTATAACCCTAGTAA